GGGGGGGGGGGGGGTTCCCCACATCTGTAAGTAGCCATAGGCTCTGTTACATTTTTAATCTTTTTACAATCTCTCCTGTATTTCAACCTAGCTTAGAGCATTCAAATTTTTTATTGCTATGGACTTACGTTGTTCATTCAAAATGTTCATTTCTGTACTAGTGCAGGGAAATGTGCGGTTGAAGACAAAGGTAGCTACAGGTTTTTCTACTCAAGGAGTACAGCTTATTTCAGTGTAATAAATGCTTGTGTATGTGAGTTAGTCCCATTGAACTAGAAAGGACTGCTCATGTGTTTAAGTGTTTGCAGGATTGGAACCATAATTGTTAGTAAGCATGTTTCTGAAGTTAGAGGTTGTTTGATGAAAAATCAGAGGGCACCTTTATTTAATTTTCCTAAGTTGTTCTTTACAATGGCCAGCTGGATTTGTTGAAGCTTCTGCAAGTGCAAGCAAGCATTCTAATATACTTAAGGAAGATGTCTGGGTTTAATGATGGCCTTAAATAGAAGTCTCTTTATGCTGGGACCAATTTTTTTAGTGGTAAATACTTTAATAGCTATTTATAACTACATTCTTTATGTTGATTCAAATCCTTTAGTTCTAGCTTGCATGACATTACATTAATACCAATTTCAGTTAGTTGAAATAGACTGCTGATGGTCTATGAAGCATAGCCATCTGTTTCCTAAATGATTTGAATTTCAGGCTAGTGGTGTTTAATTAAACTCTTGGTTTTGGTTTTCCTTTAAACTGTGTGATAGAAATGTTTACAGGAAGTCAGAACTCTCTTGTAATCTGTAGTATTCTTTCTACATTTTCAGAAGCTCATAAATTGTATTCTAAAATAAAAGATTATGTTCAGTGCTGCTTTAAAATATATTGATGTCTGACTCTTGTTTAAAATATGATCATGCAACAATATGAGCAATAAAATTGATTAAGGGAGTATGAAGAGACTGACTTATGAGGAAAGATTAAAAGCACTAAATGTATGACTTGTCAGGGAAAGGGAAGAAAACTTAACCATTTTGCAAGTGTTTGACTGCCAAGGAAGGGAACTTAAGGTAAGTAGAATAATCAACACCTATGTTTTTAAATTTCATGCAACAAAACTCCAAGAACACTGCAACATGAGAGTTAACGCTAATGGATGGTGGAAGGGAAATTTAAGGGAAGTGTTATCACATGATAAATTTAAAATCAAACTGTTCCAGGCCCTGTAATGGGCAGTCATAATTAGCTGGAGGGGCCAGATGACCTTAATAAGTCTCTTATTTAGCCTATATATTGGTCAGCTTGTGAACTGTGCAAGAGAGTGATAACATTTAGAATGTACTTAAGATATTTGCCAAGCCAAATTCCTCTACTATAAAGCCCACTTCTATTAAATTTTGAAGACATTGGCTTAATGCTTTGGGTAATGGTAAACTTACTACAGTAAACTAAATTGTAAGTGCACCGTTCAGTTATGGGGTAAGTTACCTTTCATGCGTTATGCTTTTGTAACTGTTCATGTCTATAACATTGTTTTAGAATTAAGAAGCATAGTCTTGTATGGAATTAATTTCCCTTCATTGAACTATGCATTTAGTAAGTATAAGAACAAAATATGGATTGCATTACAAGGAAACAGTTGGAAGTTTTAACTAAGTTTAGCTTTTCTAGGGGGTG